TTTTTTAAATGTTTGTAGGGGTTTTCTTCCATTTCTCTGCATTCTTTTAAAAGCAATAAAAGACTAACTTTAAAAAAGACAAATTGTTGTAAGGATGAAAGATGGTAATTAAGTTATATTTCCATTAACCCTACCTGTAATGAAAAAGTTACTATAACTCAGTAACTTATAAATTGAGCTCTAGTTTTTCAGTTAGGATAGATACCTGACATATAATATTATCGATATGCATTATCAGGAGTATGCACTCATTTTTATAAATATTTCAGAGTTGCTTTTTGGCCCAGAATGGGCCTTCAGAGCAGGTATAGTTTGTAAACTTAAAACAACATATACACATAGCAAAAAATACAGTGGAAAAATAATATATTTTTTCTGAGAAATAATGTTAATATAGTCAAATTCACTTAAAAGCCATGCCCGGGGGAAAACATCAGTAACTTGTCTAAAGAAAAAAGAAGGATCCAGCCAAGATCATCAGGATTGAAGCTATCAGATTATACCTGCAAAACTCCACTCAGCCACCAGAGGGCAGCAGACTTAGAGCTTTGTGTATCTCTCTGCTGCAATCTCATTATTGCCTGGAGTTTGGTAGTCCAGATCTAGAAGCTCCAATCAAATGCTCACACAGTGAACCTATATACAGGCAGTCCTTGACACAATTGGGACCAGCATTTCTGTTGCTAAGATGGTTGTAAGTGTGTTGCAGATATTTTATGACTTTTGCCACAATTGTTAAGCAAATCACTGCAGTTGTTAAGTGAATCACGCGATCAATATACAGCATATCCCAGCCCTGATGATCTTACACATAGAGGGAAAAATGGAATTAAAGGCTACTTTTCGTTCAGCCAGATACCATCCTTTGCCTTGTCTTACTGTGTTTTCAAAACTGAACAAATAGCAGATCACATCTGGTGATTAAAAAACAAACAAACAAACAAAACAGTGGGTACTCCAGGCACACCTTATTAAAAGATTCTGTAAATCTAATGGGAATTGCGAAATTCCAAAAATTAAGGGGATTTTCTGGATAATTAAAAGTTTTAGATGTCAGAATATCATAAATTTTTGAAATTTGAATCTGTTAAGTTTTCCATGCATACCACTAGGGGGCATGTTGAGAATACAAACAGATTGATCTCCAAGGCAACATGGACAGTTTTCCCCTTAAAAGAAGTTAATAAAATTAATGGAGGGCTTTAATTTTCCATCCGCTTCATGAAAAACCTGGATTTATAGGTTCAGTGATTATGAATGTGCTGATTTTGCTACATCAACACCAGTAAATTAAGTTCTCTGTGTTCGTTGTAGCCGATACAGATTAACATTTGAATTTTGCTTCTGAACTAGGAACACAAAACCTTTCAGCTTTTATTTCAATTTTTTAATCCCTGTGGAGAAAGATTCATTCTATCTATGGCTTCTCCATTAAATCAGTAGCAACAGTATTAATTTACTACAATCTAAAAACTTTATACTATTGTTCTATATATATAATTTATTTTGTGGTCACAGACCAAAATGCAAGAGCAACAAAAGAGAACACAAGAAAAATATAATCACAAACAATTAACACCAGAAGCCTTGGCTAAAGGGAATTACAACGTTCTCCTCTAGTAGTTACAGCTCTTAAAAGAAATTTAGAAACCTGAGAAGTAATATAGGAGGAGCTATCCCCTAGACAATATAAGACCAAATTACTAACATTAGAACCAGAGGGATCAATTCCAAGGAGAGACAATAATTTAATTCTGGCTGTGTTATACATGATAAGACATGCTCCACAGTTTTAACTTCAGCCCTGTTACAGGTGCATAATCGCTCACTAAACGGGAGCCTCTTGAATTGCCCGTTGAGTAGTGCTGAGGGTAAGACATTGAAACCGGCTAGGGAAAAGACTCTTCTATACTTGAGGATGGTTAGAGTATAGAAATAAGAGGTCATCCTCAATCCATAATTATTAGAATGGCTAAAGATCAAAGGGGAGCAGGTTTTGCTGGCTCTGGCTCTTAAGTATTGCAAATCTATGTCCACAAACCGTTGGACTACCCTAAACAGGCATCCTTAACTATTGTTCTATTATTGGTTTAGTGGCTGAACACACTGAATTTCCCCAAATCCCATACTTGGTATTCTTTTACCTGGATGTTGGAAATTATACCCTCCTGCAGTTTAAACCAGGTGTTCTAAACTGGGACCTTATAAGGCAAAGTGCGACTTCTACCCATTTTGCTATGTCAAATAAATATTCCATCTGATATATGCATCTCTGATTGATCTGCTGAAAGTTTATTCCAAGGAAGAACATGCATGGGATTCAGAGATGAATGTATATAAAACAGGTTCAATACAAAAACATTATCCATTAACTTTTCAGTACTGTTCTGTGGTCTTCTCTTTCATACAATGAGACCCCAACTATGGAAATAAAGTCTGCATTACTTTGTTAGATTTATCAGTACAGAGTCACTGGTGAGGGTAGGGACTTGGAAAGCCAGCTGGGGGATTTGGGGTTGGTTATTCTCACTTAACTCAATACACCTCACAAGGTGATTGTTGTGGGCAAAATGGGAGGAGGCATATTAGGTATCATATGTTTACTACCTTGAGTTATATATAAAAAATAACTGAGGTGGGATAAAAATAAATAAATCAGATGCAACAAGCCAAAGCCAGATAATTTTTCACGTATCAACAACATAAAACATTTTAGAATAAACTTGCAGAGTCTTCACACAGTTATAGGTAACTGCTCTAAATAAGCAAGATAGGATAACATCTAAAAAAGTGGCACAGCACATATTCAATGACATAGCCACAAACAGGAGGAAGAAAATGGTTTATATAATTCTTTTCCAGTACACTTTACTGCATCAGTGATAGAGCTGTTAAATTCAGTAAAGTTATGAAATCTATAGTTGTATTATAATCACAGAAAAAAGAAAGAACGAAAGAAAGAAAGAAAGAAAGAAAGAAAGAAAGAAAGAAAGAAAGAAAGAAAGAAAGAAAGATGCCTGTCTATCTCAATTTATATGGAAGCTTTTAAAAGCTTTCTGAAACATCATCACTGTCAGCGTATTTTGCAAGTTAAGAATCGTAGTTAAGAAACAGGAAGCAAAATAAAAAAGAGCAGTTAAGTTTAAAGCCACAAGTTGTTAACTCAGTTTCCTTTTCCTGTTCTTCCACACACTTCTCGTGTTTAGTTAGCATAGTTCTACTCTCAGGCTTCAACCTTCAAACTTTACAAGAACACTGAAAAGGCAAGAGATTGTAGATGGTAATTGGAGGACAAGGGCAAAATGCTTTTAATAGGATACTTAAGTCTTTTCCAGTAAAAATCTTGAGCAACCACAGGCTCTGGACCTTAATTACTGTAGGCAAAATTCAAGCCATTCTGTAAAGTCACAAGGAACAGAAATTTGCATTTTAAAAAATCAAAATGAATGCCCAAACCATACATACAAGTCTGGGTATTAAAATCTATAATGATTAAAGTTGTAAGAAGGACAATTAAAATGATCAAGCGGCGAAGCAGTTTTCCTATGAGGAAAGGCTGCAATATTTAGGTCTTTTTAGTCTAAAAAAAAAAAAAAAGAGGAGACATTACTGAGATATACAAAGGCAGTGTGGATAGTGAACGAGGAGAAGCTATTTTCTCCTTCCCCAAATATTAGACCTAGAGGTCACCCAGTGAAATTGAATCCTGAAAGCGTCAGGACAGGCCAAAGGAAATATTTTTTATACCACATGTAGTTTAACTTTGGAATTCACTACCTTGAAAGGCAGCTTGGCTGGTTCAAGAAGGGGTTGGATCAGTTCGTGGAAATCATGGGGATCCATGACTATCAGCCTTGATGATATTGTGATTATATCTGAAGGCCACTTGCTGGGAGACCAGAGGCTTCCTGTGTAGTTGGGTGGCTACTGTGAGAAGAGACTGCTGGATTAAATGGGGCAGGAGTCTAATCCAACAGGACACACTGCTTATGTTCTCAGGACGTAGCCAAAAACTATGACCACAACACTTTTCTTACTAATACAAAATAGCAATAGCAAAAGCAATTAGACTTGTATACCATTTCATAGTGTTTGGCAGCCCTTTCTAAGAGGTTTTACAGAGTCAGTACATTGCCTCCAACAATCTGGGTCCTTATTTTATTGACTTCGGAAGAATGGAAGGCTGATTCAACCTTGAGCCAGTGAGAATTGAATTGCTGGCAGTCGGCAGAATTAGCCTGCAATACTGCATTCTAACCACTGTGCCAACTCGACTCTTAACGCCACCACGGCTCTTAAAATGTTAAATATTTTAATGATTACGAGTTATTTGATGCTATATACCGTAGATTAGCACTGCTGAGAGGAGAGAAGCAAAATGTAAGGAAAAAACAAGAAACAGTTTACAAAAATCATAATAATTGCATTACATCCCAGATGATACTTTATAAATTGGTGATAGAAAATAATGGTATCCTTATTCTAACCAGTGGATATTTAAATAATTTACCAACATATATTGCCATTTAAACACAATATATGCCATATATGCTATACTGATATTCACATATACATTATGCATTTATAAGCTTAACAAGTTTGGCAAGCTGGTTGCCAAATCAGTTACCAGTTTACTACCATCAACACAATGGACATGTAGTTTGTACTATATGTTTTCTGTCAAGAATCCAGCAATCTTCACTACACCTGCTTGGTCTTGATCCTGCCCCAAGCTTCTAACCTTGTGAAATACAATAAAGCTGTCCTTGAAAATGTCCATAAGCAACCTTTCCACTAGAGCTATTATGATTCTTGTGTATAGGGAAGCAAAATAAATTAGTGCTACTTTCATTTTTAAAAAAAGTTCTATCCATGGGGATTTATTTCTGCAAAAATAAAGGAAAGCATTCTACGAAAGGTAAAATACAAATAGGCACAAGATAGCTAAACCACAGGACAACCATATAAAGCATTACCGATTGTTTTAAAAAGTGGCTTACTTTCCTTCTTACCTCTTCCTTCTTTTCATCAGCACTCATAGCTAAGTTGAGACTCAGCTGAGAATGGCTGCTGATGCCACTGTCTTCATTTGTATCGTCATAATACACGGCTTGCACAGAATCCTGGAAGCAAACAGGACTCCTCTTCCCCAACTTGGCAGACGACCCCTCCCCTCTTCCCTCACTTTCCACTGAGCTGAGCGACAGGGTACTGTACCGGTCTGGACAATGGACATCCATACTGCACTTGATGCTTTCAGCATTAAGACTCTGAGGCTTGGGAACAGTGGGTCTAGCAGGATGGTTGGGGGGCTCAGTGCTGTATGTAAATAGGCTGGAATTTTTTGATCCATCAAAATCTTCATGGAAAACTTCATCAGGAATTGACCCAGGGTTCTGAAGTGGAGGTGGTGAACAAACCAAGTTTGAAAGATTACAGGATGACATCCTACAGCCAGTAGCATCAACATTTAATGGAGATGGTGATCCAGCAGAGTCATCCTCGGAGCACTGGGTGCTGTACCTGGAAGGAACTGAGGCTGGGTGACGCCGGGATGACAAACACTTCTGCCAATCGTTCTCAGTGCTGCTGGAAACCCTGCGGGAATAGTCCTCATGGAGCCTGCTGTTTGGTCTTGTCTTTTGGTTCTGTTCACCAGGGGAAGAAATATCAGGCCTAGGACAGTCCTTCTTCAAAGCACCATCAGTTACGTTACTGACAAGTTTCAAAACTCTGTCAAAATCCCTTGCTCTAATTGGGCTCTTCCAACGTTTTGATTTCCGCTCCGAGTTCCTGTTGGTTTTGTCTGAGTCAGTTGACGAAATACTCGTGGTTCTTGGCAAATGCTTTTCGTTTACAGCTTTCAGGTCAGTGAGGTTTGAGGTTGACTTCCTTTTGAATGAACTCTTTTTGAGAAAATTCAGGTTATCACTGCTCTTACTCCTCCTATAGATCACTTTGGGACATTCTGGATCTTTTCCTACAATTTCACAAATCTGGGATTCCTGCATGACAGGGGAGACTATTTTAGTATTGCTCTGTGGGTCCTGGGTTCTATTACCATCTAATAAATTTATACGGCCAGTTGCATAAGCACGTCTGATGCTGCGTGATCGATGAGTGTTCCTCAGGAAGGAATCTTCCTCTCCATCAGAATTATCAGAAACCACCGTGATATCATTGGCGCTGTGCAAGTCATGTAAAGGTTCTGAATAAGAATACCTGTTTGTCTGAACTCTCACTGTTGTATTGTTAGGAATGTATTTCCTGATTTTGTTCTCTGGCAGGTTATCCTTTAAGCTATCTGGATCCTCTTTGGCTGGAATTCCTTGGAGAACTGATGATTTTAACTTTTTAAAAGATCCCATTTTTTTAAGGGAAGACAAAGCATTCCATGTTGACGAGTTCCCCATAACTATAACTGAACGAGGTCGTTCTACATTGGAGCTGGATCTCTTCCGAGGAGTGGGGAAAAAATGCATTATTTTGGAAGGACTGGTTTTATCATCCTGATTGTTATTTCCATTTTTGTTATTTGTGCTGATCCCCCCATTATGACATAATGAGGTAGTATTGCTCCCTGATTCTTTATTATCCATTACTATACAGATAACAGAGGTGGCATTTCCCAAGCCATTCTGCCAAGTTGTCATGTTTTCAGTTTTTGTACAAGAACATTAGGCGTCATAGTTCATGTTTTCTTGATTTTCATCTCCTCCATGCTGAAGCCTTTGTTAACCTGTACATTTTTCAAGCTCCTTGTTCATAGATATTTTCAATGAATTCAGCTCTTCGGTAGTCTGCACTGCCTGCACACAAAAAAAAAATCAAAGTCAGCATTTAGGATTTTTTTTCTATTCAGAAGAGAGAGATTCTCTGTATGATAGAAAAGGTTTGTAAGGCTCTCTTGAATAACTGAGAAAGTCTTTAAAGTGATACCATAGTAATCTTGTTATTAATTAAATGAATATTATCATATGTTACTTACTCTACTTACTTATATATTGGTAATAGGCAGTTATTTCTAACATTAATCCTTTCAGCCAAAGAAATTCAATCTACCAACCACATAACTTTATCAGAATCTATTTGAAGCTTCCATTGGTTTAGACCTGTTACTGAGTGACACATCATAATAAGCAAGCCATTCACAATTTGAATTGACACATCACACTAAGCAAATCATACAGTTTGGACATCTTGTAAATAGATGGGGGTCACAATTCAATCTTCCAGCAATGTAATTTTCTGTTAATTTTGTGCTGAGTAGGGATGGATATTGTAAGACTGGGGATATGAATGAAGCTTTTGGTGACTAAGCTGGTCCCATACCTGCCTTTAATCTCTTCCCCATAATCCTGGAAAGATACCAGAAATCACACTGTAGAAATCTGGCCATTTTAATAACTCACAACTGATCAAACTCACACATATTAAGCTATAACCTGTGGTTTACAAACCCTTTTGGTTGATATTTATATCACATTATGCAAAAACCAAGCCATAATGGCTTAACACAATTATGAACTCGACCTAAAATAATAGAACCTTGGAAATGGAAAGGATCATCTCAGCCATTGGGCTGAATCCTATCTTCAGGGCAAAAATCTAAATTAAAGCACCCCAGCAGATGGCTGTTCAGTACTGCAGGCCACTTTAGCTGACTGTGTTCAGCAGGTCAGCGGTTCAAATCTCACCGGCTCAGGGTTGACTCAGCCTTCCATCCTTCCGGGGTAGGTAAAATGAGGACCCAGATTGTTGGGGGCAATGTAAATATATATATACATTGCTTACTGGTGTACACCGCTTAGAGAGTGCTTGCACTTAAAGCGGTATATAAGTCTCATAAATAAATAAATATATTTCATGAAGGTGAAATAAAGAAATTGCCTCTCTGGATAAATAATTCCATTGTCAAACCCTATAATATTCAATCAGAATCTGCCGTCCTATAACTTAAATCCATTATTCTCTGTCCTGCATTCTGGAACAAGACAGAACGTATTGATCTTCTGTGTGACAATCTTTCGGGTGTTTGAAGAATATTCCCTTCAATTACCATTTTTGAAGGCTAAACATACCCAGCTTTTTCAACCTCTCTTGATAGACCCCTGACTGTGTTCATTGCCTGTCCCAATTTCTCTGAATTGTTTTCAAAATGAGGCATAATATGGAACTAGACCCAGCAGAGGATGTTAGGTCTAACTAAGGCAGAATAAAATGGAACAATTATTTCTTGTCCTTTGAAAATAGTTCTTCTGATGCAGTCTAGATTTTGATTTGCCATTTGGCAATGCTGGCTCACTTTGTAATGCACCGATATTCCAAAAATGTTTTACAAATATCGTTAATACACCAGGTTATCAACTATCTTGCACCTGATAATTTTATTTTTGTTTCCTAAATGAAAAATGTTTTGCTTTTCTCCCTGAGCTCATTTCTCCAACCTATCAAGATCACTTTGAATTTTACATTTCCTGTAAATTGTTAACTCTCCCTTTTAGTATTATGTCATCTGAATATTTGACAAGCATTTCCTCAATCTCTTCATTCAGCTAATTAAAGAAAATACTGAAGAATATAGTATAGGCCCAAGAATGACCTCTATTGCAGGACTTGTTAACCAGTGGTACGGGTACCACCTGTGGTACATTGGCACCTGGCAGGTGGTACGCGACCATCCTAGAAAAGTGGTAGCGGGGGAGGGGAATGATCTGAACCGGTGGCAGCATCGCACAAGCCTGAGCAACAGATGGCTGGAGATGCAGGGCTGTCAGGGCTCAGCGGAAGCGCCAGGATCAGCGCCAGGCTCCATCTGGAGTTAAGCACTGATCCTGGCGCTTCTGCTGAGCCCTGAAGAAGCACCGATCAGCTGGAATGTTGCAGCATCTTCAGGGTCTTATGATTTACATTCAGATGCTTGGCAACTGATTCATATTTATGATGGTCACAGTGTCCCAGGGTCATGTTAATTGACCAAAACCTGCTGCAACCATCCAGCAGATGGGGGGGGGATAAAAACCAAACACCCCCACCACACCCCCGCTGCCAATCCTCAACAGAAATGCTCACAACAATGAAAACCTCGGACAGGAGGAAGAGTGCCGCCGGGCAGGCAGGCAGGTGTCTTGCTCGGCTGTGGCTTGGGGGCACTTTTTTCAGTGCCATTGTAACTTCCAACAGTCACTAAGAGAACTGTTGTAAGTCGAGGACTACCTGTACTTTATCACTTTTTTCCCTTTTTTGGGGGGGTCATCAAGTTTTTGACACCTTGCTAGGTGACTGGTGGTACTCGGATGTTGCCATATCCTAAAAGTGGCACAATGGGTGAAAAAGTTGAAAAGCCCTGCTCTATTGAACCCCACTTGCTATCTGTTTTCAAATTGATGAACCATTAAGAAGCACTTCTTGAGTAAGATTCTCATGACACTCATATCCTTTTAATTATCATACCATCCAGCTTGCCTGGTTTCCTAGTCAGCATGTAATGGATATGGACTTCTGGTTCAAAGCCATGGCTAGCTAGATGTCCCTTTTTTGTAACATAAAAGCATTATGCAAGAACCAGGCCACCAATATCTCTCCATGTTAAGGGGAGAAATTGAGATAGACCATGTGAGTCTCCACATCAGCCTCTCATGAGTAAGCCATAGGGAAGTCATTTTACAATATGCTTATGGGTTAAACATCTGGAAATCAAGGGAGGAAGCATCTTTATTCATGGTCATCAACACCTTTTTCAAAAGAACATTAAGCTTAACCAAGCTTCACTGCTTAATTATTCTGATTTTGCATTAAGGATTAAGACCCTTCAGATCAGTAAATTATACCACATTTGCTAGGCAAGTTGCCTTCTCCCTAGAGCTTTTAAATATAATTTTAAAAGCTTTTGAAAAGTATTTTTTTTTCCAGATTAAAAAGAAAAAGGGTGCTTAGAATATGAGTTTTAGAAAATTTAACAACAGATTAAGGGCTCAAGTGGAGTTGCAATTACAATTTTAAATTTTTGGAAGAATTCTTCCCATGGGAAATTGTCCTTGTTTGCAGTTTCTTCAGTAAAAACAAGTTAATGGAATTTTAATTGTTGGACACTAGAGGAGAGCTAGAGGATAACAAAAGAATGGAAAGGCGAGACATATTCTAGCGGTGAGATTTTTTGATGAAAAATTATGAGAAGTAATTGCATAATTGAAAAATATTGACATTATTGTAAATGAATAGATGGACTGCTAAGGATGCAATGGAAGAAGAACAAATGACTCTAGATATGTTTGAAATTAATCTGAATGAGGATATGAATGTGACAAGTAATGAGGATAAAGAAAAAGATATAATGCACTTTCAAATGAAAAAGAATGCTCTAATTTATTTATCAAATGTACATGCTGTTCATCTCACGGCCTAAGGCAACTCCAAGTGGCTCACAACATACTAAGACAAGGATTAAAAACAATATAAATACAAAAACAGATTAAAATTACAAAAGAATAAAACAAACTAAAAAAGTTTAGAATAGTAGTGGCTTCTCTGTTATTACACTAGCTACCTCCAGCCAACAGCTGCTCCTTCAGGGCATTTAAAGATAATGGCCAGAGTGAATGACACCTTGAATGACACTCAGAAGCACATTCACAGCCAGAATAGCTTGTACAACAGTGGTGTTACATAGGCCACCTGACGAGCCTTCAAAACTGTCTGCACTGCTGCATTCTGGACTCACTGTAACTTCCAAATACAGGTAGTCCTCGACTTACAGCCACAATCAAGCCCAAAATTTCTGTTGTTAAGTGAGACATTTGTTAAGTGAATTTTGCCCCATTTTATGACCTTTCTTGCCACAGTTGTTAAGTGAGCTACATGGTTGTTAAGTGAATCTGGCTTCCCCACTAATTTTTCTTGTGCTAGTCAGAAGGTCACAAAAGATGATCGTGTGACCCCGGAGACACTGCAACCATCATAAACACGAACCAATTGCCAAGCATCCTAATTTTGATCACCTGACCGTAGGGATGCTGCAATCATCTAAGAGTGAAAAATGGACATAAGTCACTTTTTTCAGTGCTGTTGGAGCTTTGAAAGGTCATTAAACAAACTGTTGTAAGTTGAGGACTATCTGTACTCTTCCAGGATAGCCCCTTGATGCCTGATGCCTAAAGGAGATATACAACTATCAAATCAGAAAAGAGAGATGGATTTGTTTATTTATTTTGCTGGACCTACAAAACAGATCTGTTAAAGTTTTGAAGAATTTTTTGAGAAGTGACACAAAAGGATGAATCCCTCCTATGAGATGTACAAAAGAGACTTGCTGAAGTTGTAAAAGATTGGGGGATAAAAAAAAGATGACAAGAAATCAAGCTACAAGACTCTATTTGAAGGTGTTAAGAATTAAGTTGTTAAAAAAATTAGGGAAGGAATACAAGGTTGATTTAGTTGACAAGGGATTAAGTTATACCTGACAACCCCTACTGGACATTTGCTGATAAGGAATTCATGACAAGATGGATGTTGTTTTTAGCTAAGAGATGAGATATGAGGTGAAGAGAATATATATTTTAATTTAAAAGATGGTGATAGATTTAATTACTTGCTGAGATGAGAAAGTTTCTTCTATTTTGTTTTTCTCATTATATTTTTCCTTTTATATTTTTGAAGTTTGTATAGTTTTTATTCTTTTTAACTGTAGTCTCTAATAAAATTATTTGAAAAAAGCATGTTATGGTTATGTTTGCTAAATTATGTCTATAGCAGTGATGGCGAACCTTTTAGAGACCGAGTGCCCAAACTGCACCCCAAAACCCACTTAGGCATCGTCGGGTGCTGGGGGGTGTGGCCCATTGGGTGGGCGTGGTTGCGGTGGTAACAGCAGACTGGGTGGCACTAAAAAGTTCAATCAATCAATTCTAACTTTGCAAGATCTTTTTTTTCCCTGTGAGAAGTTGAAATTGACTGATTGATTGAACCTTTTTTTTTTTTTGTACACGGCAGTGGAGGCCTAAAGCGAAAAGGTTTTATAAAACCCAGCTGAAGGCTTAGGACTGGGGCGATGCTGCACATGCCCACAGAGAGGGCTCTGAGTGCCACCTCTGGCACCCGTGCCATAGGTTCGCCACCACTGGTCTATGTATTCCCGCACTTCATTAAGGCGATTAAAAAATGTCATAGTGTTAGTCTTCCAAGATTAGATCTTGACAACATGCTAATTTCTGATAATTGCCACATTATTTTGAAAGAGATTGCAAATCAATCTCTTTATCATCTGTTGTAGAATCTTCCCAGAAACCCAGGTCAGATTCACTAATTTATAGTTTCCTGAATTTTTGTTTACCCCTTTTGAAGAGAGGGACATTTGTCCTTCTCCAATCATCTGATATTTACCAGTTCTCGATGATTTCTTAAAGATAATATTCCTTTCAAATTTGGCCAACTCATCTGCCACTTCATCCATTAACCTAGGATGCAATTCATTTGTTCCTAAAGATTTGAATTCATTCAACATGATATTTCTTGCTTACATTTGTATCCATCTCTTGCTTTAATCTTGCCTCTTTATCCAGTCTTTAAAATTCCCTGACAAAACACAAACCAAATGCAACTTTTATCAAGGTCCTTCAAGCACAAATCACCTACAGTATTCTGGATCTGTTAATACTCAGTGGAAGCCATTCTTGTAAACACTTCTTGAGCTAATTTAGGAAAGAAAACCTCCCTTAGCAACCCAAGAAATTGGGGAATAGATTTGCAGGACCTGAAGCTACTATAATCATCTTTAAGCCTTTACTTTTAGGACATCCTTGAGATTTATGAAAGCTATAAATTCTACAGTCAAAATAACGAATGGAATCAATGCACTGAAATATAGAATTAATCAATATTACAGGGGAAGAGGAAGAAAAAGAGACATCTAGAACCCATCCACATAAATAAGCAATATATTCTTGACATTCCGTATGGAGTATTGCTAATTCAAACAACCATTATTAAGTATTTCAACCTTGTTTTAATTTCTAATTAAATACAAAAATATGCTGCTTAAGCAATCTTTTATATATACTCCATAAAAACTCTTGGAAATGTTTTGTTTCAATTAACTTCATCCTAAATGAGTACCATTTCCTTTATATTCTCTATTTTCCTTCTTTTAAAATTGACAGTACACAGCAGCAAACAAAAGCTTAGTGTGTTTCCCAGAGATATTCAACATCCTCCTTTAATTCTGTTTTCCCCGCTGCCCTATTCAAATCTTTTCAGCTTCACTCACCATTCTGCAACAGACATTTCTTACTCCCACCAAGACATGCTTAAATCTAAATATTTACAAGGGGCTGCTTTAAATGTTGCGGGAACTGTTTTTCAGATAACTTTCAGGAACTTCAGATTCAAATACTCCATCAGCATTTCTCTGCTGACAACTCAAAATTTGTTTAAAGTTAGTTTTAAAGTTTAAAAAGGGAGAAAACATGACAACTGTTTTAAGAGTCAGAATCCTAAACTTATGAAATAAGTCCGAGTGAAATGTTTACTTCTGAACTTCTCAGAGAACACATACGAGACCAAAACAATTAAAGACAAGGTTAAGAAAAAAGGACAGTGTGGAATAAGACTTTTCTCCCTTTGTGTATTTTCCAAGTATACTAGATTACCTCGATCACGTGGTATTTGCTGTCTGGAATGACTAGGGTTATATAGTTCAAAACATCTAGGGCACCAGGTTGAAGAAAGTTACAGCAGGACAAGACATTATAATGGAAGGCAGTCACCGCTTACACACAATACTTCTAAATACTAGAAGCAAAAGGCGTGACTAGACAGTGAAAAATAACATTGCAGCGAACAATGGCCACTCAAAATTATTATTTCAATGCATCGATTTCTCACTGGGCAGCCAAGGATGACGCCTCCCTCCTTACATTTCTGTCTTTTTACTCTTTCCAACTTTCTCTTTGCTTTGAACTTTTACACAACTTCTGAACCCGGCACCTGCTGGGCTCCCAGGCTCTCCTTTCAGGAATCCCAGAAAAAAAATTTTTTAAAAAAAGGAAGAAACACCAAGTGCAAAAAACAAAGTGCAAAAGTGAATCAGCAGCCACCTCGGTGCGCTCAAGCGACAAAGAAAGCAGGGAAGCCTAAGCACGAGTGCTCCTCCCTCCCTCCCACCAATGGTGGCAACCAGTTACCTGGAAAAGGGAACGGAACGTCTGCATGCGCCGAGCACCAGATCCGCATCGGACTGGAAAGAAGCAATCGCCCGGCGGGGGTCCCCTAAACGCTTCTACATGGGCGCAGGAGGAAGAAGACAAGGAGCAGCAGCAGCAGCCTTCTCATGCCTCCCTCTCTCGCTGCTGCTGCTGCTGCTGAGGCGTCGTCTTTTCCCCTCCCCTGGGTAGCGGAGGCTAATCTGCTTCCACGCATCACTATGGCAGCAACCGGAACAGAGGGTGGGGAAGCCCTACAGGCACACTGGAGCGGAGAGGAGAGTGGAAGGCGTGCAGAGCGCTTGGAGGGACCAAGTTGGTCATGAGAACAGGGACTTGGCTAGTATTACTATCGGGTTGCCGTGAAGTTCTCCCCACTTTCTGTTTGCTTCCCCCCGCCTCTTCTCGCTCCGCGCGGGCAAGAGGGGAAAAAGCGTTGCAGGCTGACGCTCGTCGTTGGTGCTTTTCAGCCCAAAGTCCACCTCTATTTGCAAAAGGGCAAACCGGGACTTTCGGGAGCGGCCGGGGTAAGGGTACGAGGAGACAGCCGGGGTAAGGCCGTCTGGCTTCTCACTTAGCAGGGCGCTCTCTTGGAGAAGCCAACACTCAAAGCGTCGATTTCCCCCCCTCTTCCCGCCCTCCTTGCGACCCCGCCGGAGACAAAGGGAGGCTTCTGGCGAAGTTATCTGAAGAACCAGTAACAACCGGGCCGGCCGATGGAAAGGAGCCGCTGTATTTAACGGGCCACCGGCGAAACTTTATTTTAAAACACACCCTTTTGTATGTTGGTTCAGGCAGGGCAGTGATGCATTGTTGTAAATCACTGGTGTGACACAACTTTTCTCATTCTGGTGCCCTCCGGTTCTCTTGGACTGCAGTTTCCAATAATCCCCATCTAACAGTTCACCAGATGGAGGAAAGTTGCTGTGAGTGGTAATGTTCATACAATCACTTTTGCAGAATCATAGGAACTAAAAGCAGATTTCAGTTTGAAATACATTTGTTATTATTAGTTGTGACCCATCGACCCCACGGACAACGTTCCTCCAGGTCTTCCTGTCCTCTACCATCTTCTGGAAATACATACCCAAGAATAAACTTTCAGTTCAATGGCTAGTTTGCCACGATTAGGTTCTTACTTACATGTCGCAGCCTAAACCATGATTTCCTAATTATAGTGACAGGCTTTGAAATAGCCAATGCAATCAAGTTAAGGCTTAGCATCATATAAACATCAACTTTAAACACAGAGTAATGTTTTTCAATTGGGACAACCGTAAGATATGTGGACTTCAACCCCGAAGATTCCCCAATAGGGAATCTATTGGGACTGGAAGTCCACACATCTTAAAAGTTGCCAAAGTTGAGAAACACTGGAACAGAGAATAAAGAAAGGAAGCACAAGCAGTTTAACAAGAATTTCATATAACTAGCTCTACAGAGCAGCACATCTCAATTATTTTACAAGCTAGAAGATTTAATTTTCCGTCCTGTTGAATGATAAAATACCTAATTCAGTCAATGCCTCTGCTAACAATAAAGGATGGGAAAGTCAAGTAAAGATTAGATAGTAATGAATGCAAAGGTTTTAGAGAACAAATTCTAGATTGGTGAAGGACAAAAGAGCTATTATCAATTGACAGGAATGACTAAATATTTATTGCAAAGAAGGGTTTAAAATATTAGGAAGGATAAATTATCCAAATGTTACAGGAAGCTAGTTGAACCAAAACATAGGCTATTTTTTTAAAAAAAATATGTTTAATGTTTATTGTGGTTTTTATGAGTTTCCCAACACATTTATCATGTCTATAGCATTTTAAATTTGCATTTATTTTTGCATCACACATTCTATAATTGTTGTTATTCCCATTTTATAAATGATTGCTATGATCCACTAACTCAGTGGTTCTCAACCTTTCTAATGCCGTGAACCCATAATACAGTTCCCCATGTTGTGGTGACCCCCAAGTGGGTGTGGCCACCAATAAGAGGGAGTAGGACAGCTAGGGAAAAGGGAACAAAATGGTGGACAGCATGGTTTGGCGACCCCCATGAAATGGTCGTTCGACCCCAAATGGGGTCCCGACCCACAGGTTGAGAACCATTGCACTAACTTATCAAAATGCTATACTGTGGCTGGGTTTATCCATCATGTTAAGTTATATGAATATGAATAGGTGTCTGCTGGGTTGGGGTAAATTACAAAACATTTCTTTCAATGCAAACTCTGTCTTTATAGATTTGCATATGATCTCATGATGGAGATACGTAAACAAAGAGCTTGTGCTGTGATACCACAACACAGTTTTCATCATTTCAGCTACGATGACTAGGAATGGACGTCTATGATGATATGGTTTCTTTGGAATGGCTTTATATGTTAATCAATGCAGCCAATATGGTTATGAATCATTGTTTATGGCACATGTGAATTTTAATCCTAACTATTGTTAATATTCATAACTCAAGGAAACTCCCTCAGGCCAGACTGACATTGTACTGTCTGTAGCACAGAAGAAATATACTGTACTTGCTTCGCTAGACTTTGCAAAAATAAATATTAATCTACTGTTATATGTTCTTTTGCATTTGGTTTATTGTCTCCACCTTTATTTTTCCTTTGGGCAGTTTCACTAAACTTTCTTTCAGTTCAGAACTAGTTTTTTGTTTGGATATCAGGGAGTCTGTGTAAAAAAAAGCAGATCTAAGTTTATATCATAATATACCATAATGCAGCATAGCATAGAAAGCCGATTTCCTATCAGGCTAGAAACTGGAAGACCATGAGTTCCAATCCTTCTTTAGGCACAAACCCAGCTGGGTGACTTTTATGCTAGTCATTTTCTCTCAGCCTTAGAAAGGACACAATGGCAAACTATTTCTAAAAAAACTTTACCAAGAAATCGGCAATAACTTGTCCAGATAATCTCTGACACTTGCATATGACTGAATGGAAGAAAAAAAATGTGTTGCATACCTTTACTAATTCTCAAATAAAGTACAGGTAGTCCTCGACTTACGACAGTTTATTTAGTGACTGTTCAAAGTTACAATGGCACTGAAAAGTGAATTATGACTGTTTTTCACACTTACAACCATAACAGCATTCCCATGGTCATGTGATCAAAATTCAGATGCTTGGCAACTGATTTATATTTATGACCGTTGCTGTGTCCCAGGGTCATGTGATCACCTTTTGCAACCTTCTGATAAGCAAAGTCAATGGGGAAATCAGATTCACTTAACAACTGTATTACTAACTCAACAACTGCAGTGATTCACTTAATAACTATGGCAAGAAATGGGACAAAACTCACTTAACAAAAGTCTCATTTAACAACAGAAATTTTGGTCTCAATTGTGATCATAAGTCGCGGATGATCCGTAATTCTTATGAATGTAATTGTTTAATACAATGTTTATGCTCTATAGCAGTGGTTCTCAATCTGTGGGTCGGGACCCCATTTGGGGTCGAACGACCATTTCACGGGGATCGCCAAACAACGCAGTCTGCCATTTTTTCCCCCTTTTCCTTAGCTGTGCTACTCCCTTTTATTCTATTGGCTTTTGAAAGCCAATAGAATAGACTCTCTTGAATAGAGTCTAATTCTATTGGCTTTCAAAGCCAATAGGAATTGTCCAGGCTGTCTCTGCCCTGCTGAGCCCGCCAAAAGTCCCATTCTGCAAACGGTGCTGCAAGTTGTCTGCAGCGAAGGCGAGCTATCTGGAAGTTTCCACCCCTCCCTGCTGAGCAACTACTAAAAATGTAAGTAAAAAAGGGCCAGGGGTGGGAGGCCGGCGAGCGCAGGGAGGGTTGCTGGTGCGCGTGGGGCCCGGCGGGTGCCTTACCTCCCTTGGGCTGGGCCAGCTGGTGGCCCAGCTGGTGGCCCAGCCGGTGGTCAGCCTGCGCCATCTCTGCCACTTGCCAGCTACGCCTCGGCCGGCACAGGGGGTGGCACCATGCATGTGCGGCATTCCCGGGCAGGAAAAGTCCTCGACTTACGACCGATTGGGTAGTCCTCAACTTACGACCGGTTGGGGGTCGCGGCATTAAAAAGCTTGAGAACCACTGCTCTATAGGTTTACAGAATTTAGGCCCAAATATTTTCATTCAGAGTTACTAGCACATACATAGATGTGTCTCTAAGAAAGATAGAATAAAAACAGCCTCAAATTCTTCTGCATTTGGCCTGCCACAAAACAGATTTATGTCTTCCTCGCTAGTAGAGTTGTGGGAAAGTTATCGTTGTCTGCAATGGAAAACTACAGCTTGATGTGGTTTCTATAGCATGAACCAGAGGTTGGAACAATAGGACACAATGGAGATATTTTTACAGGGCGAAGTTTAAGTGGCAGTATTGAGAGTGGAAATCAGGTGAAAATGTAGAAAATCATAGTAAGAAAAATAGTACAAAGATAGGATACATAGGGAAAAGGGAAGCAATGTTGGTGCCAGCAGAAGAAAAGACAATCTGTTGTTTAGCAATTAAATGAACTAAGAGAAAGGAAGAGAAATGAAAGCATCTTTGGAGATAAAGGATAAAGCAAATAAATGGAAACTGCTCTGTATGCACAGTTTCTACCTTTCTACCTAGTATCACATTTTCCCACCCTAGCTATGACTGAAATATTTCACTCAGGAAGGACAGAACATAGAATGTTGCTAAGCAAGATGTCTATGGAGATTCTCAGTCATCCAGGTCATAGTTATGCCAAAGGTGCTTTTTCACAAGGCAACTGGACTTTCTTGTTTTTTCCTTGAAGACATTTCACTTCTCATTCAAAAAGCTTCTTCAGCTCTGACTGGATGGTCAGAGCTGAAGAAGCTTCCCGAATGAGAAGTGAAATGTCTTCAAAGAAAAAAAGAAAGTCCAGTTGCCTCGTAAAAAAACCCTTTGGGATTGCTAAGCAAGACAGTTGTTAAATGAGTTGTAACACAATTTTACAATGTTTTTTGCCACAATTGTTAAACGAATCACTGCACTTGTTAAGTGAATCCTACAGGTAAGAGAATCTAGCTTCTCTATTGATTTGGCTTGTCAGAAGGTGATCACATGACCCTAGGACATGTAATCGTCATAAATACAAGCCAAGCCAAGCGTCCGAATTTTGATCATGTGACCACGGGGATGCTACTATGGTCATAAGTATGAAAAACAGTCAAAAGCCACTTTTTAAATGTTGTAATTTCAAGAGGTCACTAAACAAATGCTTGTAAATCAAGGGCTACCTGTAATTTACAAGGTTAAATTAAGCAGATTTCAATTATTTTATTGTTGACTTAAACAAAAAAAACCCCAAATTTATTGGGGGTTACAGTACTAGCCATCCAATTCAGTTTCATATTTTATATACAAGCTCATGGTTAAGCACATGCATTGGGCAAAAAGATGTCTCAAGGTTTCTTTTAATTTGAGAGATATGAAAATAACTTCCTATCTCCTTTTCTATGGATACATAACATCCATTATATTGATCAGAATAAAGCACGCCCCCTTAAAATAATGGAACTTATAATTTTAATAATGATGAAACTTATAATGAAATAATGAAACTTATCAAAAACATACGAAGAACGGTTGTAGGAATTGGGTATGGCTAATCTAAAGAAAAGAAGGACTAGGAGAGGGTCAGCTAATTTTCCAAAGCACCAGAAGGCAAGACAAGAAACAATGGATGGAAACTAATCAAGGAAAGAAGCAACCTGGAATTAAGGAGAAACTTCCTAACAGTGAGGACAATTAATCAGTGGAACAGCTTTCCTTCAGAAGTTGTGGGTGCTCCAACAGTGGAGGTTTTTAAGAAGATACTGGACAGCTACTTGTCTGAAATGGTATAGGGTCGGCTGCTTGTGCAGGGGGTTATACTAGAAGACCTCCCAAGATCCCTTCCAGCTCTATTCTGAATTGAATAGTTTTATCAGTCATCCTTCTTCC